CGCTTGTGTGAAATATATAGATGAATTTGTTGCGTAGTCAAAATTTATAAGTCAAATAGGTAATTATTCATAACTTACAGATCAATAATAACTTGGATGTAAATGGAATAGTCAATTATCTATAATTTAATCAATTACTCAACTATTTTAAATTTTTGGATGTGGATAGTTTATAAAATTAAATCTATTATAATTAATGAAACAATATAAGATTTATAAGTATACTTATTATTCACATAGATTCATTTTATGGAATCACACTGTAGTCAAATAAATTTTTTTAACAAAAATTTTAAAATGACACTTATTTTGAAATGAATATAATGTAACTTATTATCTGTTACGCGCATTGTACGGGTTGTATTAATTTTAAATAGACATGCGTAACAACAAATTTCGTGTATTGAATTTATAAGTAAGAAAAATATTTTACAAATGAATTATTCGAATTAGATGAATATTGTAGATCGCAATCTCTGTTTTCTCACGAACGATTTGAGTCTTGGAGCAAAATCCACAAAATCTCCAGCTTGATCTTCTCTTTGACTTGATTTGACTTGAATTAACGTTGATCCAGAGGCCAATGTTAATTTCGGATAAAATGTTGTAATATTCCAAGAACATGATTATGTAATTTTGCACGATTTAAATTTAATAACATTTTCAATAAATTCATATAAAAACTATATTTAATTTATAAATATTATTTGATGAGAATTTGTAATTCATAAATATTAATTATTATCTCTTACCTGTGCATCGCACGGGATTCGTACTAGTCGATCTTAAAATAATAAATTAATAGTATTTTTCGAACTGCCATATAAATTATCATATAACTAATAAATCCTTCAGATTTTAAGTTTCCATTTAAGTTCCGCGACACAAGTTCCTACTTATAGTTTTGTATGCATGATGATAAGAAATATTTCACTTTCAGTCATGACCGAATATATGATGTTGTTTCGTGTGTAAGTAATAGAAAGGTTTTGAAAATATTAATTCGAAAGACATCAATTGCCCAGTAATCAAAATGTTGTGTAAAATGATGTTTTTAATAATATATTCTCTTTTTTAGGAACATTTTTTTTGATTTGACAATTTT